CAATAGAATTTGAAAAGTATGTGCATAAAGTTCAAAAATGTATTAAAAAATGTTCTATTCAAATTATCACTCCAAATGAACAATTTGACTCTGTGTTAGAAGAAGCAAAAAAGTTATCAAAGTTTGTTAAAAATAAATGAAAGATTTAAAATAGAAAAAGAGAAACTCAAATTAAACTTAGAAATTTTGAAGAACTAATTGAAAATATTAAAGATCCTAAAAAGAGTAAATATTCTGACTTATTGAATATTTTAAATGATAAAAGACACCACCTTAATGAAATGAAAAAAGTTAAACCAAGTAGTCAACATGGATACTTATCCTTAAATGATATAGAACCTAAAATATCAAAAACTAAACACAACCCTCACCATCATCACAAAAAAAGAAAAGAAAGTGCTCCAGATATTAATATTAAACCAATCCAACAAAATGAACACCAACAAAAACAATTATCACAAGATCCAATAAATGTTTATTCTATTCCTGATCCAAAACCCCTCGAGAGACATCATCTCAATTTGTCCTAGTACCAACAAATAAAGATAATGTCCCAATGCATTGTATTGAACCAGGACAAAAAGAACATCATCTTCTTAAAATACAATTAGCTGCACCTCCAAGAAAAAGAGCAATGAGTGCAAGTGCTTGTGGATTACCTTATTTGGGAACAACAAATCAAGACGTTTCATTACTTTAAAAAATTAATTAGTTACATTGCTAGTGAAGTAATTTCTCTTTATTTATTTGATAAGTATAAGACAAATTCTTTTTATATTGTTTTGAAAAATAGATTAAACTGTATTTCTCAAATATTTTTTGTAAAGAAACCATAAAATATCCCCTAGTTAAATATATCATCTCCTTTTTTCTTTTACTTCTTTCTCTAAAAAAAAGTATAACAATACAAGACAATCAATTATTAAGAGATTTTATTAATTTAGTCTAAAAAGAATTAAATTAACTTTTGATGTTTCGCCTTTGAAGAACCAATGAAATTAAATTGAAAAAGATGTTGCTTTGAAGTAAAACCAAAAAATAAAACTTCCAAAGTGTTCGGTTTTTGAATATATTTTTATTTTCTACGAAAAAATAATTCAATTGAGACTGCCGACTCTTTCCAAATTGTTCTTGATTAATATGAAATTTCCTTTGTAATGTTAGCACTGAAAATCCTATATAAAATGAGCATTTTTAAAACCCAGCGTGACTATCAAGTATGTGTTCAATGTACACTTATTGCTTTATTGAATGAACAATACTCGTTCCTTATTCAACGCCCAGTTAAAAAAGGTAACCTTTCTCTACAATTAATTAATATCAGAAGAATAGAACTTAACAAAGATTGGATTGATGTTGAGGCTTTTGTAAATAAAAGATGCCAAGACCGAATTAGTTTTGATATTTCAATTGGAATTCCTTCAGAAACAGCAAAACAACGAGTTTCTAAGAATAAAATCTTTGAGCAAATACACTTACTCATAGATTTATCCTTTATTATGGGATATTCATTTCGTTCTTCATTTACTAGTGGAAATAACCATTCAATGATATATGAAACTGTAATAGAAATATATCACAATAATATACTAATACTTTCAACTCAAGAAATTGAATTAGTTGGAAATAAAATAAATTCTCTAATATATGATCGTTTGAGTAATCAATATTCAATAACTTTAGAACAAAAAGACACACAAATAATTTCTTTATTACAGACTCAATTTAATCATCTTTGATTTAAATCTAGAAAAACAGAAAAACTATTTCATCATTCAAATTTTTGTTATTTATTTTTTCATTTTTAAGAATTTATGATTTTCGAAAGAGTCGTTACAAACTTCTTTTTTTTTCTATTTTTCCTTTTTTATTAAAATAACTGAGAAATAAGGAAAAAATACATGATTTCAAAGTAAGAATTAAGGAAAATACTTTAGTCCAGAAGTCCGTTAGTGTCGCCATCATCTAAAAGTTCTACACTTTTTGATGTCGAAGACAGTACCTTACAATCCATTTAATGTTCATACAAAAAACATTAATGGAAAAAGATTATCACCTCGTGAATCTTCTAAAAAAGAAGTCAAACCTAAATCTCCATTTAAAAAAGAAATAAATTGGACTATACTTGAAAAACTTGATTTAAAAGAATTTGATAGAGAAATTGAAAGAATAAAATCTCGTAATGAGTTACGTTTAAATGATGAACTTCAAATTAAAAAACTAAGAAGAAGAATACAAAATAGATGGTCTTCTAAATGTAGTAGGGAAAAAAAGAAAGATAAATTTATAGAAATTCAACAAGAACTTATTAAATATAAACAAAAGTGTATTTCTCTTGAACAAGAAAATAAACGTCTTAAATTACTTATAGAAAAATCATCTTCATTTTCAGAGTCATTACCTTCAAATAAGAATAAGTTTAATTCTCAATAATTGTCCATATTTTTTTATGAACAACGTTTTTATTAAACTTTTTTAAATGAAAAAAAATATTTTATATATATTACTTAAGAATCAAATATAAGAAAGGAAGATGGGTTTGATTCTTTAGTATTGAAACTTTTCTATTTTATTTAAAGAGATGGGGGTTTTGATCAATAATGATGAATATTTGTTTATAATTAGAACTAAATCATTTTTCTTTTTTAGTTTTTCTGGTGGGTAATAATAAATAACATTTTTTTGTTTGATTCATTACTTTTATTTCCTTATCTTAAAACATCACTTAAGAATTTTTATATTACATAAAAAAAATTAATGATGAAAAATAAACAGAAATATTTTTTAATTCAGATGGGAAAAACACAAAAGAAGGAATACGAAAAACATTTCATTCTTCATTTCAAGAATCTTTTAAATTCGCAATTTGTAGATTTTTCTATTAATAAAACTATAATGAATAGTTAGTTCAAGATGGTTTTATCCACAAAAATAAAACAGAACTTAGAAGTAGAATAAATAGAACAAAATGAAAAGTCAATTAGGCTATGGGATCAATGCAAGTAAAAAGCATCTAACAGATGGAAAGTTTTTAAAGTATATTTCTGGGTATTTAAAACAAAATGTTTGTTTTTATTATCTTACTTCTTTTTATTTTCTTTCCTTTTTCTCTAATTAATTTAAATGACTCATGTATACTAGAAAATAAGTCCTATAAATGTCAAAACAATTATTGTCTCTAATAATTTATTAACACTCACACCTCCAATTCAAATTATGACTTCATTAAATACATTAGATCTTTCTGATAATAAGATTGATACTTTGACAAATGAATTTACTCAACTGAATTCATTAACATCATTAAATCTTAGTCATAATAAACTCATTGACTTTTCATTGTTATGTAATATGACAAATTTAAAAGTATTAAATCTTTCTCACAACCGAATTGAATCATTACCTCTTGACAAATTCACTAACCTTACTGGAATAAGTTTGTTTAAATTATTATTATTTTTTTTATAATTTCATATAAATTAATATTATTCATTAAATAGGTGAATTAGATTTAGGATGGAATGAACTGACGGAATTCGATTATGAGTGGATGATTCCATTAAAGTCTATTCATTCATTTTCTGTTATTGCTAACAAAATCACTGTTGTGAAAAATGACAATGGAGTATTTTCAAAAGATTTTGGTACTCCATATGCTCAGCTCACACCAAACTGTATATTACCTCATTTATTCCTTGGTTCTGTTGAATCTACAACTAAACCGTTCTTAAGAGAATATCATATTGAAGGTGTACTTTCTATTGGAACTAAACCATTATATACAAGTAAGAAAGTTGAGTATTTGTTTATTCAATGTGGGGATAGTATTTCTGATGATGTTTCATCTCATTTTAGTGAGTCATTTGAATTTATTGATCGGTTTATTACAGCAGAAAAAAATGTATTAGTTCATTGTGTTGCTGGAGTTAGTAGATCAGCGTCATTAGTTATTGCATATGTAATGAAAAAAGAAAAATTAACTTATGAAGCCGCTCTTGCAAAAGTAAAAGCACACCGTTTTTGTGTATGTCCAAATCCTGCTTTTGCTCAACAACTTCAAAAATACAAACCACATTAATTTATTGTATTGTTACATTTATCTCTTTGTCATATTTTCTTAAAAGATAAAATCTTAAAATTTTTATAAAAAAAATCTTTGAAAGTTATTTATTATTTCTTTTATGAATAACCAACAGGTTCATCTCACATTTAAAAATGATTTAAAAGAAGATGAAATTATTCTCGCACAGTTTGAACAAACAAAATTCGAATCACTTCCTCAACCTATGAAACTTATTAAAGATGTTCTTACACCTGAAGCACCAAATAAAAAAGATGAACAAAAAAGACAGTATTATAAAAAGGCTATCACTGATGCTCCTTTTATTCTTTCTGCAGGTGAACAACCACTTCCTGCACCTAAATTAGATCCAATAACAAATCAAATGATTTCAACTAAACCAATTATCACTTTAGGAAGTAGAAAAATTAAAGAAGAAGAAAAGTTTGCATTAATTCAAGTACAAGATGATGGGACTGCTACAATAAATATTTTAGATGAAAATTGGATTTTTAGCAGAAAGGCTGATATGGAAAAACCACTTTTTTCAAATGCTGTAGAAGAGGTTGATGCTTCTGATGATAATAGAGTTAAAAAAAAGGAATACCAAAGTGAAGAAGAACGATATTCTAATTTCAGTGATAGGTATGGTGATGATGAAGATGATTTTAATGAAAAGAATGATAAAACTGTTTCTGAAGAGAGTGAGGATGAAGAAAAGAAAGAAGCAAAATCACGTAAAAGATTATCTTCATCTTCTCAACCAGCACCAAGAAAAGAGTTAATGAATTTAATTATTGAAAAAATGAAGGCAAGTGGAGATGAAATGTTTCTTGATGACTTAAATAAATCATTAAATCCTGATGGTAATGAAGAATTATCAAAGAAGTTAACTGACTTATATGCTCGTGTTTTGACTGTATCAAAACAAACAGAATCTCCTTTAATTGTAACACTAAAGAAAGAACACTCTTCTAAAAAACCCAAAAAAAGAAGCGAGAAAAAGAATGAAAAGAAACCAGAATTAAGTAAATAATGAAAGAAGTAAACTTTTTATTATCAACGAACTAAACAATTCATGTTATTGTTTTATTTTAAAAGGATTAAGACTATAGACATTAAGAATATTATTGAGATTTTAAAAAAACTAATTTAAAATAAAGAATTATTTTCATTGTAATAATCATTGTAAGTTTTTCTATTATGACTATTTTTTCATGTTCATTATTTTGTCATTGTTTTTAGTGTATTGATTTTTCATATCTTTACTATGAATATATTCTCTGTAAATGTAACTTTGTTTATTGAGATCTTTTTTTTTCTAAATAATTTCTTCGGTTTCTTCCTCATTTATACTAAGTATAACTTTTAGTTGTTCAAATCTTTGTTTTATTTAGTCTGTATCCACTTATCTATTAGTCATAAATTTCTGAAATAAAAAGAACAATTCATTTTAAACAAGTATATTAACAAATAGATTTGAAAGATGTAATCAATGATATAATAATTATAATCAATATTAATGAAATAAACCCATAATCACTTTATTATTATCATCATAACTATCAACACAATTGTGTTTATTTTCAAATAAACATATTTATAATAAAAAGAAAAGCAACTATTATAAAAATAATAGTACAATAATTCAAACAGAGTATTTAATTAATGTCATTATGAAAATAAACAATAAAAATTATAAAAGAAAATATATAATATCATAATGTTGAAATAATAAGATAATAAGAGATGAATATGAATATGAATTAATAAGAATTATAATATGTTATGAAAAGAAGATAATGAAATAAGAGAAATGATGAAAATGAATTGAGTTTGGAAGTGATTTTATAATCATGTGATAAAAGAATTAATAAAAATGAAAATAATGAAATGTATTTATTGGTACAAAATAAGAATGAATCATATATAATAATAAAATATTTAAATATTAAATTTAATGAAACATATATTAATAATTGAAATTAAATAATAAATATTCATTTAATAAAATATTTTGAAAATGAAATAAATGATATGAAATTATCAATTAGAATAATGATGAATATTATTATAAAAAGAAATGAATAAAGATAATTAAAGTTAATGTAAGAAATTGGTATATTTGTATTGATTAAAAAGTAATAATTACATTAAATGATAAATTAAAATAATGTAATATTTATAATGATAAAATAATAATAATTAAACATATAATATTAAATTATATTATAAATAAGAATATACAAATTGATAAACAAGAATTAATGATGAATATATAATGAGAATGACTAAATTAAAATATAAAATAAATATAAAGAATGAAAAAGAAATAAATAATCAAATAAAATTAATATTCAATAAAAATAAAATAATTAAAATGAAAAAAGAATATAAAATAAAGAAATGAAGAATTTAATGAAACAAAACATAATTAAAAAATGAATAAAACAAAAATAACAATATATTAATACAGAAAATAAATAAGATAATAAATAATAAAAAATGATAAAAATCTAATAATTACTAATTAATTATAAATTAATAAAAATAATAAAAATAATAATATAAAATACTATATAAAATAAAATTAATAACAATAACAATAATCAAAAAACAATTTATTATAAAATATTATGAAATAATGATCAAAGACATCTGATTTTGAATATGCAAAATCTAACAAAATAACGCAATACCATGGAGGTGAGTACAGAGATATATAAGTCTATTCAACAATCAGGAAAAGAAAGAGAATAAAAGATAAAACATCAAATAAACAAAAGAAAGTACAAACAAATTAATTATTAATTTTTGTCAGTGATTTAAGTCTTTATTTTGGTTTTGTCCTTTCTTTAAATACTCCTAACTCTTTTTATTTTAAGTAATAACGAATCAGTTTTTAGTGTTGTTCATACCATTTTATTTAAATAACATTCTTTATAATGTTACTAGTGTGAATTGTTTTTAGTAATTCTTCATCAACAGTTGTAATGATGTCAGTACTTTATTTTGTGAAAGATAATGTGTAATGTGAATTAAAAAAAGTTTCATATATTTATTATTTTTGCCAAAAAAAAAGAAAACTTAAATAGGCAAAATCAAAGGAACCGGGATGAGTGGAGGAAAAGAACAAGAAATGACTAAAAGAAAAGAAGATATGGTCAAAGAAAAAAGAAATGACCCAGAGACAGAAATGAGAGAATATGAAAAAGTCTTCAATTCTATAGTCAAAGATAATGAAAGACAAAGAAAACAACGAACATTTAGATGTCAAAGTATGATTATTTCACAACAAGAAATTGATTCAATAAATCAACATATTGATAAAGAACTTGCAAAAGAGTTTTTACAAGAAATAAATGAACCATTAAAGTCATTAAAAGGAAAACCACAAGAAAGAAATGAACTAAAATTTAATATTGAAACACAAATTAAAAAATTAACACAAAAACGAGTTAATTTAATGAAAGAAGTTCATAGCATTGACTGTGAATTAGAAAGGTTAAAAATATCTTTAGAATTATTACAATCAACCGTTAAAGATAAGAAAGCAAAGAAAAAAGAAAAGAGGTCTAAAAAAGAAGAAGACAATGGAGATCAAAAAGATAGCAAAACTTCACATAAAATTAACACACCTACTCATCTCTCCTTTGAAATTGATTCTACTACAAACCGCTTAAAATTAGAAAAACAACAATTTGAAAATGAACGAGAAGTTATAATAAATGAAAGAGAACGACTAGATAAAGAACTTCAGTTATTAGAAGATGATTTAAAAATAAAACAAGATGAGTTTGAAAAAACATTAAAAGAAGCAACTGACAGATACACTGAACAAGGAAAAAAGAAGAAAAAAGAAAAGAAAAAGAAAAAAATTGAAGAAGAAAGGAAGAAGGTTGATTTACGTCTTATTCAAATTGAGAATGAAATAATTGAAAGACAAAAATTACTTGAAGAACGATTAAAGGTATTACAACATAAACAAGAGAAAAAAGAAAGAAAACTTCTTGGAAAGTCTTTAGACATGCGAGGAATTGTTAATTGATTTGTTTTTTTGAGAACAATATTGTTAACAAAAAAATAAAAAAGAACTGTCAAAATTTATAAAGTCATTTTTTATTAGTTTAATGTTTTTATTTTCAATTTATTAAATAGGATTTATCAATTTGTTTATTATTTATTCAAATATTGTTTAATTTATTATTAATTATTAATTTAAAAAAAATAATTTTTCTTTTTATTTACAAACATTTTATTCTTCTATACAAAAACTATGAAAAAATAAAAGAAAGATATCTATTATTCAAAAATTATTTAACGTTTCAAAAAAGTAATTACATGTATCTGAGAGTTAAAAAAAAAAAAGAAGTATGAAATTATTTAGTTTAGTTCTTTCTTTGTTAATATATTTTTCTGTGATTATCATTTATAACATAATGATATTCAGTATTTATAATTTTTTATTCAGTTAATAACAAGAAAGAAATTTATACAAATAAAGTTTATGGAAAATGAAAGTTATATGAACTTATAATAATATTCTTTAATTAATTAGGAAAGTGAAATATAAATAAGAGAAAGTGTATTTTATTTACACAAACAATTCTCAATTAAATTAATGAAGAGATAATTAAAAATAATTAACAATTAAATTAAACTTTTAAGAATGGATTTGTGGTTGTCGGTACGGAAAATCTTAATACTTTCATTAATTAATAATACTTATCAACCCTCACCTTCTAAATATTTTATATCTTAAAAGGCCGTTATAAGCACGGAAATGTTCAACCATTTCAAAAATGCTTTATCTACTAATAATCGAAAAGTTGTTTGAATGGAGAGTGAACAATGGTTAGAGGTATGTCTTACACCGCATAATACCATAAATGAACTCATTAGTGTTGTTTCTGATAAACTCAGAAAACAAGGAAAAACTCTTACCAATGTCGTCTGTGAAGATGAACATTTCACAATTAAACAATTAATGGAATCTGGTAGATTGGTTTGTGTTGAAGAAACAACAAAAAACAATAGCAGACCAGAAACACCTTCGTCGTCCCAAACTGAAAACACTAAAGAAACAACTGACCAAAGCTCTCCTATTGGAAGTTGTCATTGTTGTAAAACAAGAAAAGAAATTTATTTCACTTGCGAAAAAAATAAATACCATAGAATGTGTGGGCGTTGTATGAAAAAGTTTCCTGGTGTTGTTGTTTGCCCTATTTGCAACAATATTTGTACTTGTGCTACTTGCAAAAGAAATGGAAAAAAAGGAGACTGTTAATTTTTATTTACATATTTTTTGATTTTATTAATTATTTATTTATTTTATGAAAAAAACTCTTAAAAACTAATTGAAATAGTTATTTTATTCTTTTTTACATTTGTTTTTAATCATATTCTATTAAATATTTCTTTTGTTAATTTGTTTGCTTTTTCCATTTCATTGATGTTGTTTTTTATTATCTTTAAATCGTCCATATATAATATGTGGTTTAACTGGACTTGTTTTTCTTCTCCATTCATTTTAATAGATAACTTATTAAT